TGCCTCCAGCTCCTGGGTCACATGTTGGCGTGCATGTACGTGGTTCATCACACCAGGTTCAGGATGAAGCCCCTTCAGCTCTGGTTGGCCTCAGCATTCTCCCAGTCCAGAGACAGGATGGACAAAGTCCTCACGGTACCTGAACCTGTGCTAGCCTCCCTCTGTTGGTGGTCCGCCCTGGGGAACATGCTCCAAGGGGTTCTGGTCAGGGGCCAGCCTGACTGTGGAGCTGATGTCTGATGTGTCGGACTTGGGGAGGGGAGCTCATGTGGGAAATCTCCAGACCCAAGGTCTGTGGTCAGCACAGGAACTAGCCCTGCACATAAATGTCAAGGAGCTCAGGGCAGACTGTCTAGCCTGTGTGGCCTTTCGCCTGGGCCTGGCAGGCAGGGTGGTCAGGGTTCTCACGGACAACACGGCCTCGATGTTCTACATCAACAGGCAAGGTGGGACCCGCTCCTCTGCCCTCTGCCACAAAGCCCTCAGGCTGTGGGACTTCTGTATAGCCCATGATATACCCTGGAAGCCCACCACTTACCAGGCGCCCAGTACTCTTGGGCAGATCGGCTGAGCCGGGACTTTTCCTCTCAGCACAAATGGTTGCTGCACCCGGAGGTAGTGCACAGGATCTTCCGCACGTGGGGCATTCCCCAAGTGGACCTCTTTGCGATCAGGCAGAATCGCCGGTGTCCCTGTTTCTGCTCTGGGGGGACAGGGCATGGGCGTGATCTCCGACACGCCTTCCTTCTGTTTTGGTCCGGTCAGCTTCTGTATGCCTTTTCTCCCATTTCCACTGATCGGCAAGGTCTTGCAAAAGGCTTGGACCACCTCTTTCCTTATGTTAGGCCTCCGGTCCCTCAGTGGGACCTGAACTTGGTACTGGCTAAGTTGATGGGACCGCCATTTGAACCGCTTGCTACATGGTCCTGGTCCCACCTCACCACAAAGAAGGCTACTTTCCATGAGATCACGTCTGCTTGGCAGGTCTCCAAGCTCCGGGCTCTGACCTCTGAACCCCCGTACACGGTGTTCCATAAGGACAATGTCCAGCTCCGACCGCATCCCTCGTTCCTCCCCAAGGTGGTCTCCGCCTATCATATGGGCCAGGACATTTTCCTGCCGGTGCTGTGTCCCAAGCCCCACACGTCCAGTGGGGAGTGCCACATCCACATGCTGGATGTGAGACGGGCTCTGGCCTTTTACCTGAAGAGTACGAAACCGTTCAGGAAATCTTCGCAGCTGTTCATTGCCGCAGCTGAACGCATGAAAGGTCGGCCAATCTCCACCCAGCGGCTCTCCAACTGGATCACTTCATGTATCTGGACTTGTTACGACCTGGTGGGAGTTCCCCCGCTGCCGATTGTGAGGGCGCACTCGACAAGGGCGTTAGCCTCGTCAGCTGCCTTTCTGGCTCACATCCCTATTCAGGACATTTGCAGGGCTGCCACATGGTCATCGGTCCACACGTTCACCTTGCATTATACGTTCGTCTCCCGAACTAGGGAGGACGCTGGGTTTGGCAGGGCAGTGCTCCGTCCCAAGTGTCTGTGAACTCCTACCCACCTCCAACAGATATAGCTTGGAATCACCTATTGTGGAATGCACATGAGCAATCACTTGAAGAAGAAAAGACAGTTAGTTACTTTTTCTGTAACTGGTGTTCTTCGAGATGTGTTGCTCATGTCCATTCCACATCCCGCCCTCCTTTCCCTCTGTCGGAGTTGTCTGGCAAGAAGGAACTGAGGGTGGCAAAGCACTTTATACCGCACCATGGTGGTGCCACTCCAGGGGTTGCTAGGGGCACTCCCCTACGGGTACTGCTAAGGAAAAAACTTCTGGCACCAGTGCACGTGGCGAGCACATACACCTATTGTGGAATGGACATGAGCAACACATCTCGAAGAACACCAGTTACGGAAAAGGTAACTCTCTTTCCCCTTATCAACTTGGTATTGCTTAGCACAGTGAGAAAAAGAGATGGTCCATGGCTTGTTTGAAAAAAAGCAAGCCAGGGAAATTTCTAAATTCTATTCATGAAATAAAACAACAATCAATAAGAACATGAGAGATGTGTCAAGTATAAGAGGGGTAGCCGTGTTAGTCTGGATCTGTAAAAAGCAACAGAGAGTCCTGTGGCACCTTTAAGACTAACAGATGTATTGGAGCATAAGCTTTCGTGGGTGAATGCCCACTTTATTGGATGCATGTAATGGAAATTTCCAGGGGCGGGTATAAATATGCTGGCAAGAATCAGTCTGGAGATAACGAGGTTAGTTCAATCAGGCAGGGTGAGGTCCTCTGCTAGCAGCTGAAGTGTGAACACCAAAGGAGGAGAAACCGCTTCTGTAGTTGGATAGCCATTCACAGTCTTTGTTTAATCCTGATCTGATGGTGTCAAATTTGCAAATGAACTGAAGCTCAGCAGTTTCTCTTTGGAGTCTGGTCCTGAAGTTTTTTTGCTGTAAGATGGCTACCTTTACATCTGCTATTGTGTGTCCAGGGAGGTTGAAGTGTTCTCCTACAGGTTTTTGTATATTGCCATTCCTGATATCAGACTTGTGTCCATTTATCTTTTTACGTAGTGACTGTCCAGTTTGGCCAATGTACATAGCAGAGGGGCATTGCTGGCACATGATGGCATATATAACATTGGTGGACGTGCAGGTGAATGAACCGGTGATGTTGTAGCTGATCTGGTTAGGTCCTGTGATGGTGTTGTGGGTGTAGATATGTTGGCATCGAGGTTTGTTGCATGGATTGGTTCCTGAGGCAGAGTTGTTATGGTGCGGTGTGTGGTTGCTGGTGAGAATATGCTTAAGGTTGGCAGGTTGTCTGTGGGCGAGGACTGGCCTGCCTCCCAAGGTCTGTGAAAGCGAGGGATCATTGTCCAGGATGGGTTGTAGATCACTGATGATGCGTTGGAGAGGTTTATGAGAGATGTGTGTGTATTTTTAGTAAGATGTGTGTATATATAAAAATTAAGTGAGGCTTTCTGTCATCATAACAACCTGGATAACATAAATTGTGACTGAATTAGTATTTTTATTCATAACTGTTTATTTTTTTATCTGTTTTCGATGTGTTGACCTCCACAACAGAGTGGCAAAATAGTGGAACTATTTTTAAAATGTTTTTTAAATAATTTGTAGCTGTTTTAAATTGTATGTGTTTTAAAAGTATTTTATTTTGCTCTTGTTTTAAATTCAGGAGGCTGCTTGTTGGGCTTTGAACAATCTGTTTATGTACCAGTGCAACCTTCATGAGAAAATTGGAGATGAAGATAAACAGTCAGTAGTAATAACTTGAACTATATGTTGGGGAGCACGGAGATTCAAAACTAATTGTTAGGTCACTTGGGTTAATTAATTTATGGTACTTTGTTTCCCTTTTGTTGCTTTCTAATTCATCAAACAGGGCAGGGCCAGCAGGGATACCTGGGGGAGAGGATGCTGCCTGAAGACACTCAGCTTGCTGCTGTTCCCAAAAGATTAGGGCTGGGGGAGGAGCTTGAACCACCTGGTAGCTTGGGAGAAAAAGATGAGGAATAAGCCCCCAAATTAGATGGAAAGCTGAGGTGTAGGAGGCACTACTGGAATCAGGGAGGAGAAGCTGGACTTGAGCGAGACCGAGAGAATCTCTTTGTCATCTCCTTCTCAGAGATGCCATGATAGCCAAATTTGAAATACACTTTATTGTATTCTTTTGTGGACCTTGACTCATTTAGACAAAGCTCCCATTAATGTCAGGGAGACAGGAATGGGCAGTTTGCAACTATTTAAAGGGCTTTCTCTTTAACTGTTGCTATGGCAAAACATTAACAACCTGGTATTATGATCTACAAAGAATAATTTCACTTAATTCTAATATAGATTCCTTAAAATGCACTATAATCATTGTAATATGGCCATTGTGCAGTGATTTATTTATTTTTGTGAAAGGTACCCCATACACAGAGAAGTGATGCTAGCCATGCTGATGCATTCCACTGCAAAAGAAGTGTTTCAGGCAGCTGCTAATGCCTTGGCAACTTTATCAGAACAAAATGGTAAGGAAATTTAGTAATAGATTCCCTCGTCTTCACTGTCAGACTTCATCAACAATTTATTACAGTAATATTACAGGATACTGTTACATAATATCATCAGGGGTTAGGGTTGGGACAGCTCATGCACTGAAATTTAAGCATGCACTTAAGCACTTCCAGGATCATGGCCCTTGTCCTGTTGCTGTTCCTGACCCTGAAAGTCTTGGGTAGAGTGAGACAAGAGATTGGCACCCCCAGGTGAGATTGCATTATGTTGCCACTAGACCTCCAGGCCATCCGAATACAATTATTTACATATTGAACTGTATAGTACAATGTTGTTGTTACATGTAACAGTATCTCTTTCTACATAAACCCAAATCATGCAGATGTATTAGTTGCATGTGAGCAAAAAGTTATATATTTGGATTTTAATAGCTATAGATATATACACACACACAGTATGTATACATTATGATATACAATTTTATTACAACAAGGGGTGGGATTTTCAAAGGGGCCTAAGGGAGGTAGGCATCTAATTCCCATTGAAATTCTATGGGAGCTCAGCGCCTAACTTTCTTAATTTCCTTTGAAGATCCCAGTCCAAGGTCTTTGAGTTTTGCCTTTTTAAAATTCTCTCCCTGCTTTTTTTTCCCTTTTAAAATAACGTACTTAACACAGAAACCATAGATGGGGAGAAGCATCTTGAAATCTACAAGTACAATGTATAGTCAATTTACATAATGGTTTGAAATGTACATGCTAGCTTGTGAAAGGCAGGAGTTAGTGATAGTTATGATGACCAGTGCAGGATTCATGTGGTATAAACATGACTATTCTATTCTGCAGTGTTATTTCAGGTATGATGTACTCATTACTTAATCTGAATCAGATCTCAGTTATGGATTAATTCCATTAAAGTAAATGGAGTTATATTGGTGAAACTGAAAGACTTTGGACCCATGCAGAAAGTAATACTTATTTTTGGAGCCTTATTTTGAAAATTAAAGGGTGTTTTTTTTTTTTTTTAAGTTCTAGGTTTCTTGTATGATCACAGAAGAAAAATTCACAGTAAAAGTTATTTTGAAATAAAATAAACAATTAAAAATAGACTCAATGATAAATCCTGCATCCCATAATGGTGACTTTGCATAACTGGAAATATTGACTGTATTTGTTCCCATTAGGCACTTTTAAGATCCTAAGTTTATGGGCTAAGTTGTGCAAATACACTCTACTCTACTTCAGCCTATACCATTTTCTAGTTTGTATGTATATAAATTTGTAAATAAAGTGTTGGCCTTGCAAAGTCTTATACATATACATAACTTCAAACAAGTGAGACGTCCTATTGACGTCAGTAGGACTACTTGCCTGCTTCAAGTTAGAAGATGCACAGATGTTGGCAGGACCACAGCCTAAATGAATATATTCATGTTTGTTCATATAATGCTTTCTCATGTTGTAGTAAATATTAGAAAGGTTCTGTTGGCAAAAGGAATACACATTAATGCATTGGACATAATGAAGAAACATTCAGACTCCCCTGAAGTGGCTGAAAGTGCCTGCAAAATGCTGAATCGTGTTTTTGAAGGAAGGTAAGATATACCTAGTAATGTGGGATCATGTGATGTTCTAGTGCAGGTTTTAAAACATATTTAAATAATTGACAGCTAGTTATTTACTTAACGTCGGGTGAAAATTTACTGCAGAGTGGAAGTCACATAGAAGATTCTGAATTTCGTAAGCCCCAGGATCAACTATACAGAGGGGTGGGGTAAAGAGACTACTCCTGGGTCCTTTGAACCCCCTGAACTGCACAGTGGATACCATCAGTACGTGGACTATACAGGCAGCCCATAAGCCACAGTCAATTTCATGTAGAGTTGGACAAATATTGGACATTTTCACAAACATTAATTCCAGTTGCTAAAGTAATTCCCTTTGATGGTGTTCGTTCCACCTTTATACTCACTTTCCGCAGATATTCTCACAAATGCATTTATTGTTCAGAAAGTTGTCAGAAACAGAATGTTAGCAGACAACAAATTTAGAACTCCTAGCCATGAGTACCCACACTGAAAACTTGATTCTAAGTGTTACACTTATTCAGTCAAGGAACAGAAATATCCTGTGTGCCTGTCAAAACAGCTCAGATTTTGAATGTTAAAGAATTTCAACAAGCTGCATATGAATAAGCTATAAAGAATTATTCACAGAAATTTTGTGTCAAATAATTTCAAGTAATAAATGAAGAATATCATGAACCTTTCTTGGACAATTCACAAAAACTGAAATTTGTCAAATTTATTACAAATTACTTATCCAGTTCTTTTTCATCCCTCCAACTATCAGAATTCTTTTCACATAGCTGATTTGCTCAGGCTTTGTGCTGGGATGAATTTCACTCTAAAAATAAGCACCTCATTGGTCAACATAGCCTACCTACTGAGTAGGCTTACTTCTGTGGGAACCATTTCCCTCTCGTGCTTTGCTTCACTTAAGGATTTCTGAATGGCCTTAAAGATACTGTAACCTGCTTAGAAATACAATCATGAATTAGGCCACAATCTTGCCAACGCTTTAAGTGTGTGAGTAGTCTCATTGAAGTCAGTTGGCATGATCATAAGTGTTTCCAGGATCTAAGCATTGCATTCAGTCCCGCAAATTCTGATTCAACTGTCCTTATTCACCCAAGCAATTTCATTAGACTTTATATGAACTTATCATTTTACTTTGACATTTTCATTGTGTGTTATCCTTTTTTTAGAAAATGCTAAATTGTCTCATTTGTAAAGTAAAAACCAGCATATATGTATACAACAATGGAATAAACATTTCTGGGAAAAGAGAGAAAATAATCCCAACAAGGCACTGTTGCACTGGCAGGCATCAAGATTACTGTGGTTTAAGAAAGTTCAAAGAATATTACGGCTCTCAGTACTATGAAGCTAAACAAACTTTCAGTTCCTTTTTTCACTTCCTATTTCCTTTTCAGGACAGATGACACAATAATAAATAGCGTGCAAAGAAAATCTATGCCTGAAATGTTTTAACAAGTACAAAATTACAGCTCTGTTTTGGCTGATATGGATATAGAGTTAAGCAAAAGTTGATAACAAGAGTGCTGATAACTTTCTAATTTATATGTGTAAATATATAAAATCAAATCTTAAGTCAGGAATTCTTACAATTAACTAAGTATATTTTTAATAGCCCCCCCTTTTTTTTATTCTTTAATCAGAGATGGAGTTCACTCTACTTGAACCAGACTTTTGAAAAGAACCCTCTGCTTTTTTATAAAGCAAATTATTGTAATTCTGTACGGTGATGAAATCTGTTATTTTCTGTTTCAGCATGATGTAATGAATGAATTTGCATGCCCTGTTCTTCCAAACTGCTATAACTGGGAGCCATTGTTGGTCTAGAAACAGTGGAATTAAAAGTGATAGTTGTTCTTCGAGTAGTGTCCCTATGGTTGCTCCACTGTAGGTGTGTCTGCATCCCTGCACTGCTAATCAGAGAAGTTTTTGGTAGCAGTGTCGACTCAGCCCATGCATGCGCTGCTCCTCGCCTGCCACAAGGCTGGCCAGTGTGCTCTGTTGAACCCTCCTCAGTTCCTTCTCAACTGCCATTGGCTAGAGATGGAGTTATAGCTGTCCATTCGTGGATCGTTAACTCTTTTAGAATTGCTAATTTTTAGCTTCCCCCAAAGCTTTTTCTTTGTTACTTTGTATTTTATTTGGACGTGCCTTAAATAAAAAAAAAGAAAAGAAAAGGGCTTGTCTCCCCCAACCCCAGTGTGTGGGGCGGATCCCATGGACAAGGATATGTCCAGCTTGCCCGTCTTCAAAAAGTGCCTCAGTTGCAAGGAATCTATCCCAGTGACTGATGAACACTTGCAGTGTGTTTGCTGCCTGGGAGAGAAGCACATTCCACAAAAGTGTGGCTTGTGTCAGCAACTGAAGCCCAGATCCAGAAAGACAGAGCTAAGACTCAAACTCCTACTCATGGAGTCGGCCATTCAATCCCTGCAATCCCAGCAGGAGCTCTCACCGCAATCCTTCAAAGGGAGGTGAACCCAGAGAAATGAGCCACTCACATAAGGTCTCTAAGAAAAGGTCAGTGAGTCCCCATAGTGAACCCCAATTGAGCTGAAAACTATGTCTGGCTTGATCAGTATCATCAGTACCAATGGCACTGAAGCCATCTAAATCTGGTACCCAGGGAAAGCGTGGTACCAAGCTGACGGAGCAAGATTAGACTGCCTAAAGACCCAATGGGCACGGACAAAGAAGCGCCGGTACTGTGGGGGCACGAAAACATAGGAGATGCTCTCCGGGGAAGACTCCCTCAGTACAGATGTTGGCACCAGTACCTACCCCAGTGCACAGGCACTGACAGAACTCACTACCGGGTCCACATCGCCACCCCATCAGTGCAAGCCTCTCGGGACAGACAACCATCTCCAGTAGCGACACCATCCACGCTGCCAGATTTCCTGTGTGCAACGGATCTTTCAGTGTCCGATGCACCAGACTTGCTCCGACTCAGTACTGGGGCCTCGATACAGAGTTCACCCAGGGCCCTGGACTTGCCAAAATCTTCCTGACTTGCACTGCCCTTCTCATCATCAGAGTTAGAAAGTGAGCGAGAAGACATGGATTCTCAACGCTCTTCTCACCTGCCATATGGGGCTTAGTTTCACTGTGGACATCCAACTTATTGTCCCCCTAATCCACAGCCTCCCTGGTTTGGTCAACTGTGGTACCAACCACCAGGCTCCAACCCATCACAATAGCCATACTAGGACCCTTGGGAGGCTCAGGGACAACAAGCCTCCCATGCCTGTAGTGTGGCACACCAGCAAACGAGGAGACACTCTTTCCTTCAGTCGCAGCTTCAAGGGCTTCTGAACCCCCTGAACAAACAAGGAGATAGTAGAGGCTGAGGTGGAGGAGGAAGTCATTCCTCAAGCCCACTTATCGTCGTCCTCACCAGATGAGACAGTGATGCCCCCTCCGCCATTGATGGTTGATGATTTCAAATTATTCCAGGACTTGGCACAGGAGGTGGCTGAAGCCCCGCAAATACTGTTATAGGAGGTAACCAAGTCTCACCACAAGCTGATGGACAACATTCCTCCACCTCCTTCAGAGTGGCTCTCCCTATTAAGGAGGTACTCCTGGATCCCACCAAAGTCATGTGGCAGAACCCTGCTTCAGTCCCACCAACATGCAAGCAGGTGGACAAAAAGTATTACGTGCCAGCAAAGGACACAGAGTTTCTCTTTTCCCATCTGCCCCCCTATTTGATTACTGTGGATGCAGTCAACTCTGAGGGCCACCAGCACCAGTTCAAATTCACCCCTTATGACTGGGTCTGGAAATGCCTGGATCTGTTTGGCAGGAAGGCGTATTCCTCAGCCCCCTCCAGTTCTGCATAGCAAATTACCAAGTATTGTTGGCAAAATATGAATACCACAACTAAATGGAACTCCGTTCCTTTATTGAGCAACTTCCTGATTCTCACAAGGAACAATTCAAGGCCATAGTCAATGAGGGCCAACTGGTCAAACATCCCTCCAGTCCACATTAGATGCAGCTGACATGGCGGCACACTCGATTTCCACAGCCATTGTGATGAGACTGGCTTCATGACTTCCTTTATCCAGCTTCCCTAAAGAAGTCCAAACTACAGTGGAGGACCTTATTTGAAGGGACAAAGTTATTTGCCAAGAAAACCGACACATCCTTTCACATGTTGAAGGATTCTAGGGCAACTCTTCGATCCCTCAGGATCTATACTCCTGCTTATGAAGGAAAGTACAGCCCTCAGCGACTGTTCAAGCCCCACTCATCACAGTACACAGAAATTTTACGAACCACAGAGGAAGAAGTCTAGGTTCCCCAGGCGACAGCAGTCAGGTTCTCAACCAACTTGCTCTTAGCACCCCACCTTGAAGTGGCAGTTTTGATGGGTTGGTTGAGGTGCCCGTATAACATTCTCCTCAATATCTCCTCACTAACCCCACCTATCCCTTCGGAGACCATCTAACCTTGTTCTGAAGCATCTAGGACTGGATAACCTCTGACAAATGGATGCTGGAAATATCCAAGATGGATATGCCATCCATTTCTCCTCCCTCCCCCCCCCCGCCCCCCCAAACACCCTTCCCCGTCCCTCTTCAGGGACCCTTCTAACGAGAGTCTGCTACATCAGGAGGTAAGCCATCTCCTTAGTGTAGGAGCGATAGAGCCTGTGCCCATACATCTAAGAGGCAAAGGCTTCTATTCTTATTACTTTCTAATACCAAAGAAAAAGGGAGGTTGGAGACCCATACTGGACCTCAGAGTACTCAGATATATGAAGATTGTCACTCTATCAATGATTATTCCAGCATTAGAGAAAGAAGATTGATTTTCTGCCCTCAACCTCCAAGATGCGTACTTCCACATTTCCATCATACTGAGTCACAGATGTTACCATAGGTTCACGCAAGGTCAAGACAACTACCAGTGCAGAGTACTCCCTTTTGGCCTCTTGTTGGCCCCCAGGTTATTCTCCAAAGTCCTCTTGGTAGTGGCAGCTCACTTGCACTCTCAGGGAATCATGATTTATCCTTACCTTGATGACTGCCTTCTCAGTTCCTTTGCCAAAGCCCAGCGAGTCACCCAAACAACACTGAATCTATACCAGAATCTGGGTCTACAAATAAACATTAACACTGGTACAAGACTAGAATTCATAGGAGCTGACCTCAACTCCATCCAGGCAAAGGTGTTCCTCCCACCACACTGATTCCTCAGCCTATCCACGCTGTTAGAGAAAATGCAGTCCAACTCCCAAATTTTGGCCAGACACTGCCTCCAGCTCCCAGGGCATTTGGCTGCAGGCACATTGGTCATAGCTCATGCCAGACTATGCATGAGATGCCTCCAAGCCTGGTTCAGTTTGATTTACAGGCCAAACAGGGAGCATAAATAAATTTTTATTGATGCCCAACAAGGTCAAGTAATCCTTGGACTGGTGGAAAGACCCAGTAAACGTATGTACGGGAATCCCATTTGTTCAGCCTCCCCCATTATTACTCCTGACCACCAGTGCATCCCTCATATGGTGGGGTGCACATCTCAATGGTTTCATGGTGCAGGACAAATGGTCGCCATCTGAAACATGCCTTCACATCAACCTCCTCAAACTCAGAGAGGTCCAAAATTTGTGTGCTCACTTCCTCTCGCTGATCAAAGACACGCACACAAAAGTCATGACGGACAATGTGGCCTGCATGTATTACATAAACTGTCAGGGAGGTGCCTGATCACACTCCCTGTGTATGGAAGCGCTAAAGCTATGGGACTGGTGCATTTCCCACAATGTTGTATCATCAGTGGCCTACCTCCCAGGAATGCACAACACAACAGTGGACAACGTCAGCTGCAAGTTCTCACGCTACCACGAAGGGGAAATACATTTAGTGGTCCTACGTGACATATTCCCAGCAATGGGGGACACTGACAGTAGACCTGTTCGCTACTTACCAGAACAAGAAATATCCTCAGCACTGCTCCAGAGGAGGGGTTCGATGACACTCCATGAGGGATGCTCTCTTCTTCCCATGGGACAAGGGTCTTCTTTACACCTTTCCCCCATTCCCTCTAATTCTGAAAGTCCTGTTTTGAAAGTGAAAAGAGAGAAAGCAATCATCATATGGATTGCTCCACCTGGACCAGGCAGATATGGTACCCTTACCTGTCACAGCGGACACTATGACCACTGATGACTCTTCCAATCACTCCATATCTGCTATTGCAGAATGAGGGACACACTCTCCATCCCAACCTGCAGATTCTGCGACTCAAAGCCTGGCTCCTTCATGGTGTTAGCACATAGAGACATCTTGCTCTGTACTGGAGGTGCTATTACACAGTAGGAAACGACTGACTAGACCACCATTTGAAACCATGGCCACTTGATCATTAACTCACCTTTCAGTGAAGACAGCGTTCCTGATTGCCATTACCTCAGCAAGGGTAGGGGAGATAGTGGCCCTGATGATGCATCCCCCCCACCCCCTTTCACTGTGTTCTTCCCTGGCAAAATCACTCTTCAACCACATCAAAAGTTCACTCCCAAGGTGACTTCCACTTTTCATATAAATCAGCTTATTCAACTTTCAACCTTTTATCCTAAACCTCATCAGCATAATAGGGAAGCCATCCTCCATATGCTCGATGTGAGGAGAGCCATGGCCTTCTATTTGGACAGAACAAGAGCGTTCAGAAAATCTCAGAGACTCTTCCTCTCCATTGCAGATAAGTCAAAAGGTACCGCAATTTCAGCTCAAAGATTCTCTAAATGGGTCTTGAACTGTATCAAGCTCTGTTACCAGATACATAATGTAGCACCCCCATCTTCAATACACACACATTCTACGAGGTCAGTCTCCTCCTCCATTGCCTTCTCCAAGGATGTCCCTATATCAGAAATCTGCAGCGCAGCTACCTGGGCATCTGCACACACCTTTGCAGAACATTATGCCATCCTGGGAAACTTGGCTGCAGATGCCAGCTTTGGTGCCACGGTGCTATCATCTATAACAGACTCAACTCTGAAGACCCAGCCTCCAGTGGTGGGTGTCACCTACAGTGGAGCACCCATAGGGACACTACTCGAAGAAGAAGTTACTCACCTTGTGCAGTAACTATGGTTCTTTGAGATGTATCTCTGTGGGTGCTCCACGACCCACCCTCCTCCCCTCTACCTCAGAGTCCTTGCCATTGACTCTGCGGTAGAGAAGGAACTGAGGAGGGTTCACCCGCGCACGCTGGCCAGCCTCATGGCAGGCAAGGAGCAGCACATGCGCTGGGTGAACGGACACTGCTACCAAAGATCTCTGATCAGCAGTACAGGGACACAGACACATCTTGAGGAACCATTGTTACTGCATTACTGCAGAAGGTGAGTAACTTCCTCATCTCGCTGATCAAGTATTACCTCTTATTTCCTTATCACATGAATGTTAATGTGCTGCACAACCATATTTACATATGAAAGTAGTCATCTGCAATTGCATTAAGTCCTTTTACTTGGAAAGAAAGTGCATTTTTATTTACCTAATTCAGTGGTCCCCAAACTTCTTCAGTCGTGCCCCCCACCTGGTCTGCGCCACCCCAGGAACTGTTGTCGGGAGCAGGGCCAGAACTGCTGCCAGGAGCTGGAGGGCCAGAAGGCCAGGGGCAGAGTGGGGCTGGGTTGTGTACCCTCCCTGCCCCCAACGAGCCCCGCTGCCCCCCAAAAATAGTTGCTCCATGCCCATCTAGGGGGGCATGGCCCACAGTTTGGGGACCACTGACCTAATTGTGTAATAGAAACATTTTAAAGGAAATATTGCTATGAAAGAGTGAAATTTAGAAAGGACAGCAGCCTTAGCATGTGTTTAGGTGCTATTTTTTACCACTTTAATGAAAAAATATTAAAATAAAGAAGAATGCCTTCAAAAGCTAATTAGAGGCTTTGTTGCTACCCATTTTGGAATGCCAATAAACTGAGCTAGGGTTTTGGTTTTTTTTTTAATCTTAATAAATGCAGTTTTGATAGATCAAAATCTGACATGACAGATTGCAGAAATGAACAGAAACAAGCTTCTGTCACTTCATGAACTGTTTATGGAAATTATGGAGCAAACGGAGGGAGTGAGATCACATGTCCTTTCTTGCATCTAGAGCAGAGTCTTAAAGTGGTACATATGAAATGTACACTTCACAGTAACATGCTCTGTTATTAGTCTGCACTGCATAGAAAACTTCTGAATGTTCCAGGATTGAAATAATTACATTTAGTATTATAATAGAGATTAAAAGCATGGAAATACTGTATAAGAAAACTACACTAGCTGAATTTGCTTGCTAGTTAAAGCTGAGAAGATTAGTGTGCAGACTCACATATTGCTGTTTACCAAACTAAAACTAATGCATTTCTAAATTGTATGTTTATTAATTCTGTAAATGCATATTTACTCTTAGTTTCCCTCATCTGGACATAGTGATAGCAGTTGCATCAGAAGTCCTAAAGGCCATGAGGAAACATGAAAAGGTGCCATCTGTACAGCTGGAGGCTCTTCGAGTCATTTTACCTTTCATGATCCCTGGTAAGTCATCCAAGGAAAATAGTTGACATTATACATCAAATAGGAGAATATAAATAAGAAGGCTGTTTTCTGATCTTTCTTAAAATAGTTAATCATCCATCCTGTAGTGGAACTTCGTATGAGTAATTTTTACTTAAAGCTCTATAATTAAAGGAGAACTTTTATGATTGAAAAGGGTAGAAACATAGTTTAAAGGTGGAAGAAAAAGCTTGGCAAACATTGAACATATTGGGCCAAATTAATCACTGCTGAAACTCTATTGACTTCTCCAATGATGGACTTTCATCAGTGATGAATTTGGTCCATTGCTGCTTCCCTTAGGGACTATGGCTCCATTGCTGTGACTTTATACCTTAATTATTGGATGTTCCATTAGTGATAGACAAAAAATAACAAACTTTATTTCAAATTGGATATACTAGCAGAAGGTATTGCTTCTGTTCTATATGACAATGAACTGTAACTGGATCTCACACACCAAGCAGTGGGGGCAGTGACTTCAAGATTAGAAACATATTAGCTCTTGTCTACAGCAAATAGTTGTGAGTCCAAACTAGATGATTTAGGAAATCCATTCCAAAGAAACACCTTATAGGCAATCTGCAAGGGGGAAAAAATGTGTGTTCCCTTTGTTCTTTATTGTGTAGAAACAGAAGGCTTGGACAAGGTTAGAAAAGATTCTTGTTTTGTTACCTTAGTATTTTTTTAAATCAAGAATATTAAGTCTTGTCTTCTTTGTTTTTGCTGACAGTCTCATTAGAATACTAAAGATCTGGAGTGAGAGCTTTCTCAGTCTTAACTGAAGAGATGGGGAATCTTTTTGAAGATAGCATTTCTTGCAAGTGTTTGTCAGGACTTTTGGTTAAATGAATATTGACAAAAACAAACCTTTTTAAACAGTTTGATTAAAATGGAGGTTTCTCTTACAAGCTCAGATTTTAGTTTCTTGTCCCTTGTAATATAATTGTATTATTTTTCCATTCATTCAATGAGACCTTGAGCAAAAACAGGAGATTTAAGACTTGATAGTCAACTTTAACAAGCAAGTAGGAGAAATTCTCCTTTTTTTGCTAAAATCTTGTGAGCCTTTGTCCGTCATAATGAAGCCAAAAAAGAGACAAGTTTTTTTTCCTTTGACTGTTGCCCTAGTTGGCGTTTGAAGGTTAATACGCGAAGAAAGTTAGTCTTTTATAGAAAAAATAATCAGTACATTCTTGAATCCTAAAGAGTCTTTTACATGATCTCTAGTTACTTTCTGTAGTGCCACTTTGCGGTGAGTGCTGATTACTACAAAAATGTTAAAAGAGCAGAACATGGTCCTGTTAGTTTGTGTGCACAATTTCCATTGATGTTATCTGTGGATATAATTTGGTTTCTAATCTGCTGCCAACAGAAAGATATAGTAGTCAAAAAATCCTTTTAAGTGTTTTCCTTCCAAGAAAATCCTAAAGGCATTTAAAGTAAGTAGTATGGACACTAAGAAACAGAGCTCCATTAAGTAATTAATTTCTTGCTAGATTTTGAACTGAAAGTGAAAAACAAAAGCTGAATTTTTCATTTCTCTTGAATCTGCTATTGACTGGAGCCCTACATGTTTCTCTGTATGATTAGACTTCATCCCCACTCATAGAAAAATACGTGATCTCTCTGTATCCCATCTGATTTTACTAGGTTTGAGGTTAATTGGGATTCAGCTTATGAATGATTAACATATTGTACAAGTTCACATACAAAATCCCCCCATTTTGCTGCAACCAAAATTCTTTGGAGTGAGTATTTGTTTCGTAATAATCAACAACATGGGGAAATAGAGTTTTAACTCACTCCATGGGCTCTTGGTAACTCTGGTCTGTGACATTACAGAAGTGTGAAAACAGTGGGAAACTAGAATTAGGCTGTCATGGGGTGCACTCACTACTGGTGGCACCTCTTCCTGGAGATTAGCTCTGGCTAGGTGTTGCACCCTCCGCCGGCAGTGTCTCTCCCATCATCCCCTTGACCTGCAAACCCCTCTCACTCCAAGAACTGCAGCCTCCTCTTCATGATTCAACCCTCTGGCCGGGTCACCATACATGTCCCCCCTCTTCCAGGGTATCAAAGTCCCTGTTGACAAATGGGCTTAGGTAGTCTTCCTACTCACTGCCCCACCAATGCCACTTCAGCAGCTGGTAGGGGGGGACACAGGCCCACCCTCTACTCTGGGTCTTGGCTCAGAAGCCCTCTCATCAGCACCCAAAGTCTGACTTACCCCATACCTCTCTGCTCCTCTCCCTGAGCCTTGCCTACCTCTCTACTCTTCCCCTTCTCTGGGCTTTCCAAGCTATGCTCCGCCCTCCCAGGGAGTAACTGTAGGCTTCTTGCCTCTAGTCCCAGATACACTTCCCTTCTCCCAGGGGGTGACTGCAGACTACTTCCTTACAGCTCTCTTCTGCTCCTCAGCTTCTGGGTTTTATACAGGCACCCCCTGTCCCTGTCCAGCTGAGCCTCATTTAATCAATCCCTGCTCCATGGCTTCTCCTCCAGGTGCAGACTGTAGGTTAATTGGGCCTAATTTACCCTCTCAGGGTCAGTGTGGAGAGTACACCCCATCCCACAGGTCTCATGAGTTATTTGTAAATAACTTTGCATCAGTTTGATTGCAGTACTGATTTTACAAAGAAAATGTGAAATTTGTTTCCCTGAAGAAGTGTTTTTCTGTGTGTTACAGGTGCCATGAAAGAACTGCAAAATGGTTCTTCAGGAACAGTGGGAGATGCTGACTTGATGCTTACCTTAAAAGTAATTAAAAACCAGTGTTTGTTGGAGGGGACTCACACACTAGTGCTTGATGCTTTAAACAGGGTATGGTTAAAATCTTTCTCCTAATAAATTTGCTTGGTATTTTACAGTTGCAATTAATGACTTATTTATAACTTTGAATGCAATGAAATCATTTTCCGGTTGATTTGATAAACTTTACCTTAGATGATCTTCCATACACGTGTTCATCCGCATTATTAGTTTTTTCTTACTCTGATTTATTCTGGAATATGCCAGAGAAGTTCCTCTTTGATGCAATAATTCTAGTGGATATTTATTAGAAAACTTAATTTTTCTTAGACATTCAATTCATTTGCAGTTGTTTATGATAATATTTTATATGTTAAAGACGGTTTTTCACACAAATAATGAATATCCTGCATAAGCTAGAAGTTACTGTATTTTGCACATAAAAACCTGCAACTGTTCTCTTAATGTGATTTTACCTAAAACCGGTAAATATGAATACAAATTTCTTGGACTCCAATAGAACAGTGTTTCTCAAGCTATTCCATACCAAACAGAACTGCCTGGGAGTGCTTGACCCTATAGCCATTGGGAAGAGCAGGATAGTTGCAACCTCATGAGAAGAAACTTGGAGAGCAAGAGGCACCTGCAAGCAGGTCCCAGCAGGATAGGGAGACAGAAAACAAAATGCTGGGCTGCTGGCTGCAGCAAAAGAGCAGTTCTATGGCAAAAATGCTGAATTCTATGGTACATTGGAAAAATGCCAAATCACACGGCCCATCGAATCCACATGGCCGTGATTGAGATGAATGAGGCAGTTCACGCACCTCTGAGAGCAATGCTAGCAATGATAAAACTATGTAATTGTCTGTGTTTCAAGGGGTTGAATGAGAATACTTGACCTTGAAGGGTAAGGGTATGCAGGGAGTAGGAAGAGAGATTTTCTTTCCTTTGAACTAATAAAATTTTCAATACCTTGTGATCCCTCCTTGTGACACTCTGTACCTCGGGGAAACGCTCTACACCCTCACGTTCATCTTTATGAAATGATTGTATGACATCCAATGCAAAGTTTGTCATCTTGAGTGTCTTCGGAAGGCTCAGAATGCAGTAAGCATGGTTGTTATAGTGATGTTATAGTAATTGTTACAGTAATATTATAGTAAGGTTATAGATTATAATTTCATGTATATAGTTATGAGGCTGAAAATGTATCCTCATGGCTTAAAGCAAGCCCATGCAAAAACTCTCCAAGAACAGAGAGGCAGTTCACACCTCGTCAGGGCATGGTTGGGACAAACCCAGCCCAGCCTCACAGGAACAATGGACACTGTGTTATACAGCAACAAAAGAATCTGTTAGACCCTCGAGGGAGTCACCCCCTTCCTTTGGGCAGTTTGGGACTGCAATGAGGTAATGCTCACCTGACTCTGAAGGGGGGGGGGGGCAAAGCCAAGAGGAAAGAAAGGACATGATAAAAGGGAGAGACATTTTGCCATGCTCTCTCTCTTCCACCTACATCTACAGACACCACCACCACCACCAAGTGACTGAACCACTGATCGAAGGAGAGAGCCTGGCTGAAGAGCCAGCCTGTGGTGAATTTGTAAGGACACTGAAAGTGTTAAGATCAGCCTAGAATGCGTTTTGCTTTTATTTCATTTGACCAAATCTGACTTGTTATGCTTTGACTTATAATCATTTAAATCTACCTTTATAGCTAATAAATCTGTTTATTCTACCTGAAGCAGTGCATTTGGTTTGCAGTGTGTGAGAGACTCCCCTTGGGAGAACAAGCCTGGTACATATCAATTTCTTTTTTAAATTGACGAACTTATGTAAGCTTGCAACATCAGCGAGCATAACTGGACACTGGAAGACGGAGTTCCCAGGGTCTGGCTGGGACCAGAGATATTGGCTAGGGTCATTCACTTGCACATAGCTGGGAGCAGCTTACATGCCAGAGGCTGTGCGTGAACAGCCCAGGAGAGGGGGTGGTTCTTCGAGTGATTGCTCATGTGTATTCCACAATAGGTGTGTGTGCTCGCCACGTGCTCCGGTGCTGGAAGTTTTTCCCCTAGCAGTACCTGTAGGGGGGGAGTGCCCCAGCGACCCCTGGAGTGGCGCCTCCACAGCACAGTATAAGGGGAGCTGCGCGCACCCCCCACCCTCAGTTCCTTCTTGCCACCAGCGAAAGTGCAGTGGAACTACTCTGCTCCAGCTTTGCTGTAGTTCGTCCCCAGAACTGCTTGTTCGTTCAGTGTTAGTACCTGTAGTTAGTTAGCTGTTCAGTTAGTTCAGTTAGTTAGAGCGCCCGGACCGGGACATGCCCCGCGTCCCGGTTTTAAATCGTGTGACACTTGTAGGCGATCTATGCCAAAGAGTGACCCACACGCAGACGGTTTACGCTGCTTGGGAGAGACCCTCATCAGCAATCGTTGCAAGATTTGCAAGTCGTTCAAATCTCGGACTAAGAGAGAAAGACACATCAGGCTCCGGACCATTCTGATGGAGTTGACGCGGACCCTGACTCCGGCGCACCGCTCCGAGTCGGCGCTGGGCACCGCGGGGTCGGTGTGTGGTGACCTTCCGGCACCTTCGACCAATCGGCAAGGCTTCCCATCTACGGGGCACAAGAAGGCAATAAGGACGCCTTCTTCGCAGTGGCACTGAGGAAAACCCAGGGCAGAGGCTAGACCCATGTTGGGCAGCCCTAGATCCTCCTCCGGCCTCTAGCCTCCAACTCACGTAGAGCGGAGCAGCCCTGCCGCTTCGGACCAGACCAGACCTGTCCGGATGCCCTCAACGCCAGAGGCCCTGCAGGCGGCCCGGGATGTCAAGTCCATACCAGTATCAGGAGCGCCGCCAAGGCCGGCCCCACGCTCCAGGGCGCCCCCAGCTTGGTTCCGGTCTTGGTCCAGGGAACGTTCCCGACGCCGTTCGCCACCTAGCGACCATTCAGGGCAAAGTCCACGTGGATCGCCCTCCACTCCCACCAGACTATCTGGTTGGGTGCCATCTGACTGAGACTCTCAGCACCGCTCCATTTCAAGGAGTGAGTACCGACGGGACCGAGGCAGACGTCGCCGAAGGTCCTCATCTCAGAGGGGTTACCGCAGCCGGCCACGGCACAGACGTCAACGCCATTCCCGCTCAGAATCCCGCTCCAAGACCCCACCAGGGCATCGCCTCCCCAGCCCCGGGCATCGATCGCCGGCTTGTCGCCTCTGCGAGTCCGCCCGTCGGAGCCGATTGCAGAGCAGCTGCTACTGACGGTACCGATCCTCCACGTCGAGATCACGGTCCCATGGTCGGCGTCGCTCCTGGCACCGCCGCTTCTCCCGGTCCCGGGAGAGCGGCAGGTCGTTCGTCAGCCGGCCTCTGTTCGCAGTCGTTCTTCCATGGCCAGGCCAGCCAGGCCAAACAACCGGGCCCGCCAGTGCCGCAGCAAGTGCAGTGGCACCGGGCCCAGTGGGCACTGTGGCCCCAACGTAGCCCCAGACGGGGCTCGCTCGATAGCTGGAGCCTCAGAGGCACCATCGGCCTCTCTCTCCAGACCTCCAAGGAAGGGGTCGGTGGGACATACATCCTCGGTACTGTGCCCGGAGACCGACCAAGTGGTGGACCCTCCGGTGCGGGCGGATACCCAGAGTATCGTACCGGCCTCCTTGCCCTCCCCAGATGAGGCAATAACGGCCCCGCCCCCTCCATCCTGCAGGAGGACTTTAGAGATACCAGGAGCTTTTAAAAAGGGTGATGTCAAACCTCCATCTCCAAGCAGGAGAGATCGAGGAACCCTTGGACTCTCTGTTCAATGTGCTGTCCTCTTTGGCACTGGGCAGGGTAGTTTTTTTGCCTCTCTGCGAAGGGGTGGCAAAAATTTCAATGCCTTGTGGCAAACACTGGCCTCGTTGGCCCCCATCTATAAGAGAGCGGAACGTAAGTACTTTGTACCTGCCAAGGGACACGAGTACCTATACACCCACCTGGCGCCCAACTCCCTGGTGGTTGAGTCGGTCAACCACAGGGAACAGCAGGGTCAGCCAGCCCCTACCCCGAAAAATAAAGGTTCACAGAGGCTGGACTCTTTCGGAATGTATTCGTCCTCAAGCTTTCAGTTGCAAGTGGCAAATCACCAGGCGCCCCTGGGCAGGTACGAATTCAATCTGTGGGGCGCCCTACCCAAGTTCGAGGACTCCCTCCAGGAGCGCGATAGGAAAGAGTTCAAGGTGGTTCTTATCCCTCCAACCTTTCCAGTTCCGCATACAGCACAGAGCAGGGAGTCACCATGGCAACGCCGATGGCTTATCACGTGTACACTGTCTGGCATCCCAAGCTGCCCAACCCCTTGGTGTTGAGCAGGCGGGAGGGATATGTGATAGACCCAGACCAGTTGGGAACAGCAGAGTAGCAGAAGGGAGATATACTGGCCTCTGGATATGTAGTTTTCTGTTCCCTGAGTGACCAGAGCAGGGGCTGCTCCAGGCTAATAGACCACCTGACTCCAATTAACCTGCTAAGAGTCAGGTGAGGCAGTTAAGCACCTGACTCTAATTAAGGCCCCTCTGATGCTATAAAAGGGCTCACTCCAGTCAAGCCAGGGGGAGCCAGAGGAGAGGAAGTGTGTGAGAGGAACTGGGAGCAAGAGGTGTGCAAGAAGCTGAGAGTGAGTAGGCGTACTGCTGGACGACTGAGAAGTACAAGCATTATCAGACATCAGGAGGAAGGTCCTGTGGTGAGAATAAGGAAGGTGTTTGGAGGAGAGCATGGGGAAGTAGCCCAGGGAATTGTAGCTGTCATGCAGCTGTTACAGGAGGCACTATAGACAGCTGCAGTCCACAGGGCCCTGGGCTGGAACCCGGAGTAGAGGGCGGGCCCGGGTTCCCCCCATACCTCCCAACTCCTGATCAAACACAGGGGGAATTGACCTGGACTATAGCTTCTACCAGAGGGGAAGGTCTCTGGACTGTTTCCTGACCCACAGGGTGACTCTGTGAAGCGAGCAAATCCACCAATAAGCGCAGGATCCACCAAGGTAGAGGAGGAACTTTGTCACAGTATGTTCACACTTTAAGCACAGATATTTGTGATTTTTAAGTGAGTCTTAAGTGCAGTGGCTAAGAACAGTCAGGAGGAGGTCACAGTTTTGTTATTTTCTGTTTGCTTATTTTGGGAAAGGGAAGTAGGACCAGAAAAGCAGAAAAATGACTACCAGAGAGGCAGCTACAAAACTAGAGCTGGCCAGACTGGAAGCGGAAGAGAAGGCAAAGGATCGCGAGTTTCAAATGTGGCACGCAGAAATGAGGCTCAAAGAAGAGGAAGCTGCACACAGAAGGGCCATGGAAGAAAAAGAGAGAGAGAAGAAAGAGAGAATAAGAGAACGGAAAGAGAGCGAAAACACCAACTGGACCTGCTAGAGAAGCAGAACCAGAATCCCCCCGACCCCGAGTCCCATCACTCCAAAAATCCACAAACGGGAACACTTATGTTCTGCATACAGTGACGATATTGCTGAATATCTGACTACTTTCGAAAGGCTGTGTGTAATACATGAAATACCTGATGATAGAGTTCCTACCCTGATTGCGAAATTAACTGGTAAAGCTGAAAATGTATTCAATGGAATACCTATTGAAGATGCTTTAGACTATTGTAAATTTAAATATACTGTTTTGTGAAGTTTTCAGATTACCCCTGAAACATATAGAGTTAAATTTAGGAATCTTAAAAGGGATATTGGTATGAGTAATGGAGAATATGTAAACAAAATGAAAGATTTGTTGGGAAAATGGGTGAGGGGTAAGGAGGTGGCAAGTTTTGCGGTAATGTTGGATCTTGTTGTTCAAGAGCATTTCCTAAGCGTATGTAAGGCTGATGTAAAGCAGTGTCTATGGGACAAAGATGTAAAGTCTGTGGATGAGAGTGCTTTTTTAGCTGATGCCTTTGAACAGAATCAGGCATCTATTGAGGGCAGGCCACAGAAACAGGGGTTTAAAATTGGTGGGAAGGGAGGAACCCATTTTGTCCTTGGGAAGAGAGAAGGGGGTTGGGAGCCTAAACATTCTCTTACCCAAAAACATTCCTCTAACCCTCATCCCAAATCTGTAAAAGCAGAAAAGCCCAAAAGGTCCTATCACTGTAATCCTGTAATTCCACTGATTACCTGAGGAATAAATGCCCTGTGCTAGGAAGAAGCAGGCAAACAATAGTTCATGTTAGTTTTGCTGTCCTCAACACAGAAACCCCCCAAGCAATTGAAACCTATCATATTGGTTCTGTGAGGTTAGCCTCTGCAGAACCAGATATGGAGCATGTTAAGGCTGTCCAAATTGATGGCAGGGAATATTTGGGACAGAGGGATACAGGGGCCCAGATCTCTCTGATTAAGCAGAGTGTGGTTCCAAAGGCCAGTATGTTGTCTGGCCAAATGGCAGAGATTGTGGGGGTGTGGGAAAACAGATTCCTCATACCACTAGCTAAAATCCATGTGGTTTAGTAAGGTTTGGAAAGTATTTTGACTGTGTGGGTAATGGAACACCTCCTATTCGACCTGCTCCTTGGTAATGATTTTTTCCATGTAGCTCAGGTTAAAGTATTTGCCTGCAGCAGCAGGGAGTGTTATGTTGGGACCCCCGAGGGAAAGGGTAAGGTCTCAGGAACTGCTGAGAGAATGGGAGAGTCTCTCCTTGATTCTTCTGCAGCAGGGAGAAGACACATGCTTCCGGTGGGAGAGTGGTTGAGACCAACCCCTGCACTGCAGCTGGAGGCAACACCACATCAGAAAGGGATAGTGGTGTAATGCGTGCCAGGGAGAGAATTGTTCAGGTTGTTAGCTGCAAGCAGGTTGCAGCTGAACCAGAGATAAAACCGGCTCTAGGGAGCAGAGAGAAATGTGTCCCAGAGGAGAGCCCAGAGAAGGGGCAAGGAATCTCAGAAACCACTAAGGTGGGTGAGGATTGTCTTGTGTTTCACAGAGGCTTGGTTTTTGTTTTGTTTTTTTGACAATGGGGAAAGTGCATTTTTTTGCTCTTCTTATACTCAAAATGACTGAATAGTTTTTGCTCTAACTTTCAAAAAATATTCACCTTTACAAGATTTCAGCCTGAAAGCTGAATATTGTGGAAAGTTATGAAAAGATAAAACAGCGGATATAATGGAAAGGTTTGTGCAAATTTAAATGCAATGATTACTTTCGTAACAGCTAAAATTTTACACCTTTTGAGAAAAAAACTCACAAGCAACTTTCCTTATCACATTGAGTAGCAGAGAAAAAATCTGACCTTATTTTGTATTAATTTCTCTTTTAGTTTATTGGAAATCCTGGCATTCAGAAATGTGGATTAAAAATACTTTCTTCTGTAGTGGAGTGTTCTGGTGCACTACAAATGTTATCCCAACAAGGAGCCACAGACACTGTACTTCACACACTACAGATGTATCCAGATGATCGAGGTACATAGGAAGATGTCTTGTTACTTAAATGTGAATCTTGTAATAGCCTATGTATCTTTACATCATATTATAAATGTAACATACTAAATTTGTCTCTTTAATTCTGAACCAGTAATTAATATTAATAATCTCTTTTTCTAGAAATACAGTGCTTAGGTTTGAGTCTTCTAGGATCTTTGATTACAAGAAAGAGTTTGTGTATCGCATCTATGCATGTGCTGGCAACAGTTCTGGTTTCCACTTTACGACGATTTAAGGAGGTCGTTGAAATACAGATACACGTATGTGATATGTTTGAGTGTAAAGATGAGAATGAATGAAAGAAAATGGGAACAGGTTTATTTTTAAAAACTTTATTTGATATGTAAATTTGAAATATCTGTTTCTGATTTTTGTGTGTGTGTTTGTACAGTGCCTAGCACAATGGGAACATGTCCTATGACTAAGGCTCTTAGTTACTACAGTAATACAAATAATGATAGAATTACTATGAAGCTGAGCAAGTGAATACTTAAAATTAAATCGAACTGTTGAGGTTCCCAAAGTGATAGCTGTCTCAGAAGGCATGAATTCAGTTCAGAATATGCATCCATAAGTATAGATGCTTACCTGAACCTATGTGGTCTGCAAAACTGGAATAGAAATCCCCTGATAACAATCCGTCACTCTATCAATCATCATTTTATAATGTACCCATCATAGTTGTATCTGAGCACCTTTTATGAAAAATAAACACAAAATATGTGTCTTTCAGCCCTGGCATCAGCAACAAGCTTAAAGTTATTGATGAGATTTTTAAAAAAAATATCGAAGTGTATGAATGCTGTTGTACTTGAGAAGGTTGTCGTGGGACAGTTTATTGAACAGATGGGTTTTGCATATAGTTTTGAATGCAGTGAGGGTGGTACTCGTTTTTATTTTGTCAGGCAATGAGTCCCGTAGTTTGTTTTTTTTCTGGCTCCTGTAGATGTGAGGCTTTCCCTGCTTGTCATCCGCTTTATTTTTCTAGTGGAATGAAGCCATTGTGTGAGGTCACTTTCTTCTGAGTCCTACTACTTCTGTTTCAGCTCAAACTAGAAATATCATATCCATGGCCTTCTTTCACAGATTTTTGGCTTTTCCCTTTCAGGTTTAACTTTGTGCCCAGTACAGAAACGGGGAAAAGTGAAAAAAATAATGTTTGGGGGAGGAAATTACTCAAATAATATTTAGTCGCAATGAGTTTTGAACACAGGTTTTTGTCTATCACTCAGTTTACCCGTTTCTAGTTAATAGCCTCACATTTTACAAATAGAGTTGTTGGGTTTTTCTCTTTAATTTCTAGATTTACTATAAGTATTTTAGCAAACTGGTGTTTCAAACTGAACATTATGGAGCAGGCATGCAGGCTGTATGGTGTGAACACTTCAGTATCTGATAGGGGGCATCTTCACCCACCCCATATGGGGTAACTTGTGTCCTCTGGGCATTAGTAAGAAGCAGTCTTGCTATTTCTGAGCACAGGATCTGTCATTGTGTCTGTCCCTTGCACTGAGAATGCAAAAGGGAAGGGAAAGGTCTTCCTTTTTTCTCTCCTGTGTACTATCTCAACCTATGAAGACATGTATAACTTTGTTCATGCTAAGAATTAATTCAAATTATGTTCTGTTTTATTTTCTTTCTTATATCTATGAATGATAGTTTGGAGGGAGAATATGTATACATCTAGGGGTAATTTGGAAATTAAGGTTTTCAGCAAAAGTAGTGTTTCAGTGAATTTAAATGCTGGGCCTAAAATGTTGACAATGTTTTATTTATTTTTACATAAAGTTAGGTAATTTCAGTTTATAACAGTGGACCTGGTAATGGACCAGGCCCAATGCTAGTTTTTCAAAACATCAACCAATAGCTGCCACTAACTTACATAAGTAAGTCAAACTAACCGAGACTAAACTGCAGCTGAGGGTATATGTACACGGCAGTAGGGAGGTGTGATTGAAGCACATCTCGGCATGCCAAAGCTAGCTTTGATCTAGCTAGCTCACTAAAAATAGCAGTGAAGCACAGGCAGCAGCATGGGTTAGCTAACCAAGTGCAAGGCCGTCCAGGACCTTGGGTACATGCTCATGCAGCTAATCTGTGCAGTCACCCGCACCACCAGTTTTGTTGCTATTTTTAGAAAACTAGCTTGATCAGTGCTGCTCCGGGTATGCTCGTGCATGGCTTAATCAGACCTCCTGACTACGGTGTAGAAATACTCTTAAGACTAAAAGTGGTTCGATGCTCAGACCTTCTGCTATGTTCTGATCCACCTTGCAGTCCAATATGATTACATGTCTAAAAACCAAAACAAAAGATACCAAAAGAGTATATCTATTTTACTAATAAATTTATTTTCGTTAATTCTGTAACACGTTATCCGACTTCCATCATTTTAAAATTTGATATTTTTTAAATGTACATTTGTTGTTGATCACATCATTTTATTATTTGTAGGGATTTCACATGATCTTGACAATCATTGACTTGTCACCTTGTTTTGCAAAGCTGCTGATATATGAATCATTTGACACAGTCATTTTTTATCAAATGTCCATGTGTTTCACTGAACAAAGAGACCAGCAGGTATCTTCTCTCTTTCAATCACTCCACATCCAGATGTTCTGAAATGTTCTGAAGTTTGCTACCTTCATTTCAATTATTTCTCTTCCCATTCAGTTTCAAAGCATGTGCTGTAAATGCTTCGCTAAAATAGCCAACAATGATGATTTAAAAAACATGATGCTGGAGAAAGCATGTGCTGAGTACAATAGCATTATGGCTGAATGTTTACTTTTACTGGGAGCTGATGTTAATAAGAACACAAAGACGAGCTCTTTAATCTATCAGGTAGGTTCTTAAAAATATAGATCGTTATATTGGTTTGAAAGATGTCACTTTTTTGGATGATTTTAGTGTGCGTGTGCGTGTGTGTGTGTGTGTGTGTGCAAGATTAACTATCATTAGACCCAATCCTGCAGTGTTCTGAGCATCCTGCAGGGAAAAGCTTCAAAGGGGCTTGATGACTGAGGTACACCTAGTGTTAGCCTGCAAGGCATAGTAAGGGCTGGCATAGCCCAGAGGAGATAAGTTGTTGGGCTAACTGACCAGAAGTGTCAGAGAGCTGACGCTCAGTTAAGCACAAGCAAGTCTCCCTCTTTCAGGAGGCATGAGGGTAAAAAGGGAACTCTCAATCCTGGGTATCCCAAGAAGCGTCACACCGTTGACTTCAGATTGCAGCAAGCAAATCACAAATTATTCATCACTTTCATTGGTATAACCAACCACTTATGTGTACTCGTGCCAAAATACCTGGCGTTTGCCACATGTTTTGGAGGTCTCCATTACACAAGTAGGCTAAAGCCGCCTAGGGGGCTTGATCAACTTCACTTAGGCAGTTTTAGAAATCTCAGCCTTGATGTTTAGGAAATTCTGTATTCCAGTTCATCCCAGGACACCATGCTGAGAATATGGAGAAACAGTAGTTGAAACAACTCTTGTTAAAATCTAAGCTCCTGTTTTACACACATTTTATTCATTTCTTCTGTAATAGGTTTGTGAGAAAGGAAGCAATCCTAAGCTGGTGGAACTGCTATTAACTAGTGGTGCTCGAGAGCAGGATGTTCGGAGTGCTTTAACAGTCAGCATAAAGAAAGGAGATAGCCAGATCATCAGCTTGCTCTTAAGGAAGCTTAGCCTGGATGTAGCCAACAGCAGTATATGTCTTGGAGGATTTTGTATGGGGAGAATTGAACCTTCCTGGCTCAGCCCTTTGTTCCCAAATAAACTTACTCCTATAAGAAAACAAACAAGTAAGTGTATATAGAATTTGTTATATTAAAATGTGATAAACCCTCCTAATGATGTTTTACAAACCTTCAGAAAGAGTTTTAAAATTGAAATACAGTGTTAGAGAGCCTGTTACATGGGTTGTGTAAATCAGCATAGCCCTCTTGGTTCTGAAATGGCCCCTAAACTTTAAAAATAAAAAATCAAGTCTTTATAGTAATTTTAATCTTCATGAATTTACTGAAGAACATGCCACTTTATTGGTGTCTTAGATGCAGGTTCTGCATTGGCAAGAATGGTGCTTAGGTACCAAATGAAGACTTTTTCAGAAGACCGATCAAGATCCAGTTCTGATGTAACTTTCTCTGAAGATGTACTGGATAAAAGTGATGATTGGATATTCATGCCTGAGCCATTAGTAGACAGTGTTTTTCGCTTGAGTGATGACATCGATAGTGAAGGTACATATACTCTAGCAATTTTATCTCCTCTTCACAATGCTGGTCTAGAATTTGGGATGAAAATTCAATTTAAAGTATTTTGGCAACTATTGGACCATAAAGTAATAAATAAAAAGTAATAAAGTATATACCCCAATTTATTTGTTTTAAGGTAGAACACTTTGTGTATAACTGTAGGATATTTTTATATAAGCCTTTGTGTATATGTGGAAAACAGTGGCAGGTAAATGTATGTGTCTTCAAAACACAAAACTAAAGTTCTTAGATTTTAGGTTATTCACTTAATTTATTTTCTATCATTTCATTGGCTCAAATGAACTCACACTGAAAAACAATAAAGGACTAAAACATCATATCACTTGGGAGAAAACACCTTTTCATAAAACAGTCAATTTATATCTGACCTATCAGTCCTCATCCTCAAAGAACCTGCAGAACATCTTCAAAAGATGAGCCTAGGAGCTTAATTTTATAACTTTTTGCTAGACACTAAAAATCGTGGTCTTAAGCCATAAATCCAATGTCTTTATTATTACAGCTTATTACTCTTTTTTGTCTTATAACTGGAGAAGTGTTAATGGCCACTTCACCTCAAATGGTCTCTTAGAATATGTGTTCACTACTTATGCTAAACAATTTATTCCACCCTGTATTTAGCTGTGACACTCTGAGTACCTTTTCCAGACCTGAAGAAAAGCTCTGTGTAGCTCAAAAGCTTGTCTTTTTCACCAATAGAAGTTTGTCCAATAAAAGATACCTCACTTCTCTGTAAAAGAGAAGAACCCTAACCTTCTCTATAAAAAAAAGTCTTTATCACATCTTCAGAAAACTTAACTTAAATTCCAGGGATGCATCTTCAACATACAATCTTTCCCGGCAGTAATTATAGTAAATGTTAATGTCATTAAATAGTTACAACAGAATTTTTGCATTGCATTCAGTGACTAATAAAATTGGCTAGACAATCAGATTTTTTGCATTAATGCCAGTGTTATTTTTTGAAAATCTTGGAAAACTAAAACCATTGCTCAAGAATTAGAATTTTAACATCTTTGTGGAATCAGAAAAGTCTGACTTGTTGATATTTTTGTTATCTATTTTGTTTTTTTCTATTGCATCATTCGACATCATTTTTCATTACTGTAGCATTGTTTTCCAGAAGTATGTATGCTAGTAGATACTGTTAGTTGCCCCATATAGCAAAACTGGTATTCATTTGTAAATTGTGGTGAACAACATGAATTTTTCCAACGGGGTGGTCTTAGGATTTTAGAGGCCTGTCTCCTCCTCCACAACGAATGAGTATGAGGCACACAGATCTCCTACCTCCACTTCACACGTCCAGCAGATAAGAGAGAATAAGACTGAATGGGGCCCAGATATACGAAACCACAGAAGCCACCAAAACACTCAGACATTTGCCATTAAACAATGATGGGAGGGAGAATTTATATTCATAATACCATTAATTATTATTTGTATTAACATTTTGTATTGTGGTGGCATAAGATGTGAATCAATATATAAAATGTATCTAGTAGCACCAAATATTGTTGTGTAGAGTAACTTTCCATCCAAGGTGGGAAGAAACCCAGGAGCTTCCCATCCATCCTTCTCTCTTAATATCTAAAGGAATTTAGGAGTCTCTCTGTCTCCTGCCTTTGCCAGTCAGGGCTGAGAAAGCCATTGGACCTTTTTTTGTTCATCCCATTCACCCTCCCACCATCTCTCACCTTCTCATCCGAAGGCCAAAAGGGGCCAGATGCCTTTTTTTCTTTTACCCTCTCATGCAGTGGTGGTGAGTTGAGGGGACTCCACTCTTCCTCTCCTTCCCGTCCAAGAGAAGGGGGTACTCAGAAGGCACCTCCCTTCCTTCCCTCCCAGCTTCAAGTGCTGCCACTCTGCTCTATAGGACAGCATAGGCAAAGAGCAGAAGAGGAGCCAGCAAGAGGAGGATAGAACTGCAGGAGGAAGGAGGGCAGGCAACTATAGATTACTCAACAGCAGCCACTATAGTGGCCTCTAATGGCTGATGGAGCAATTTGTTCTAAGAAATGCTGAAGCCACAAGTCTGAAGCTCCCCTCAACAGCATGTTTGCCTGTACGGCTCAGAGCTCTCCTTCTTCCAAGCAGACGAGGATATATTTTTAAAGCTAACTTAAGTATCACAGCTCTATATTTCTGAAAATCCTGTTAGCGTGAATGCAAAAGGAATGACCTAGCAAACTAAAGTTCATATCTGGAGCTTGTTAAATTAGGACAGTACATATACTCTAGAGTATGTTCTTTACATATTGCATATTGAATTAGCCTGTCAATTCCTGCTATTATTAATGTGCTGGAAATACCGCATTACAGTTTACGTTGATATGTGTATTATTTGGTTGAATTTTCTGTAGCTCTATGTCCTCACTTTGTAATAGGGAGTGAAGGTTCATTTCTGATGAAAAAGAAATCCAACTCCATTGCAGTTACTGATCTGTACAAAGATCCACCCTTCCAAAGATATTCTCCTACTACACAAAGGCATTCCAGTTCTCTGGTAAGATAAGTAATTTATTCACTATAAACCTCCCTAAATCCATTATATATGTTGCCTGATGGAAAACTATTATTAATGATAAAATATCAAGAAATGACTGGTGGTCACCAATACACCATTTAGTACCTTATAAAATATTCCATAACTGTGTGATGACTGTGCTCCCATCTAAATAGAGTGCTGCTATAGATAGCATTTTATTTCAGCAAATGATTATGAACTGCCTATGACAAACAGTACAAATAGCCATTCTGATCTAACGAGAACTATTTAAACTTCAGATCATATTTTTTAAACTAACTGTCATTTTTATGTTGCCAAAGAAAAGTAGCCTGTAAATTTCATTATACTTGAAATCTATTCTTGTTTTGTATTACAAGTCAGTAATTCTTAAACAGTAAGTAAGTTACTTTTTGTTAGATTTTAAGGTTAAAATTTTCATCTTTTTGAATTACTGTGTGGATGACTTGCAGATTGCTATAAAAAGAAAGTTAAACCAATTCATACATTTTTAGAGATGTAAAAATATTACAGATGTTGTTTTTTGTTCTGTTTTGGAATTTACCAGGGACCTGGTTCAGATCATGAACCATTAGTGAAGCAAAGAAGAAGATTGTATTCAGATGAATCTCACAGTAAGTCAGATGTAAAGAAATTAAAGAAGTATGGGCTGGATGAATGGACTGTAAGGTGGATAGAAAGCTGGCTAGATCGTCGGGCTCAACGGGTAGTGATCAATGGCTCCATGTCTAGTTGGCAGCTGGTTTCAAGCGGAGTGCCCCAAGGGTCGGTCCTGGGGCCGGTTTTGTTTAATATCTTTATTAATGATCTGGAGGATGGTGTGGACTGCACTTTCAGCAAGTTTGCAGATGACACTAAACTAGGAGGCGTGGTAGATACACTAGAGGGTAGGGATCGGATACAGAGGGACCTAGACAAATTAGAGGATTGGGCCAAAAAAAACCTGATGAGGTTCAACAAGGATAAGTGCAGAGTCCTGCACTTAGGACGGAAGAATCCCATGCACTGCTACAGACTAGGGACCGAATGGCTAGGTAGCAGTTCTGCAGAAAAGGGGTCACAGTGGACGAGAAGCTGGATATGAGTCAACAGTGTGCTCTTGTTGCCAAGAAGGCTAACGGCATTTTGGGCTGTATAAGTAGGGGCATTGCCAGCAGATCGAGGAACGTGATCGTTCCCCTTTATTCGACATTGGTGAGGCCTCATCTGGAATACTGTGTCCAGTTTTGGGCCCCACACTACAAGAAAGATGTGGAAATATTGGAAAGAGTCCAGCGGAGGGCAACAAAAATGATTAGGGGTCTGGAGCACATGACTTAGGAGGAGAGGCTGAGGGAACTGGGATTGTTTAGTCTCCAGAAGAGAAGAATGAGGGGGGATTTGATAGCAGCCTTCAACTACCTGAAGGGGGGTTCCAAAGAGGATGAAGCTCGGCTGTTCTCAGTGGTGGCAGATGACAGAACAAGGAGCAATGGTCTCAAGTTGCAGTGGGGGAGGTCCAGGTTGGATATTAGGAAACACTGTTTCACTAGGAGGGTGGTGAAGCACTGGAATGCATTACCTAGGGAGGTGGTGGAGTCTCCTTCCTTGGAGGTTTTTAAGGCCTGGCTTGACAAAGCCCTGGCTGGGATGATTTAGTTGGGAATTGGTCCTGCTTTGAGCAGGGGGTTGGACTAGATGACCTCTTGAGGTCCCTTCCAACCCTGATATTCTATGATTCTATGTAAAAATACATAAGATTTTCCAGTTTTTAACATTTTTTGTGGATAACTGTAATCAGTAATCCGTTGAAGTAAACTGTCTAAGCAACATTGGCACTGTTCTATTCAAGTTTGAAAAATTAGGGGTAAGTTTTCCAAAAATTTTATTTAGAAAAATTACTCCTAATACTTTAAACTTTAATAAAACAGTACAAATGTTGCTTATACAGTAAAGCACTTTTCTCTTCAGCTTTACAAAGAATTTCTGTAAGATTATGTATAATAATGTACATTCACGACTGCCCTAAGAAGCATTTTTAAAGCTATTTGTATTATGTAGAACACAAGTATACCTCTACTCCCTATAGAACCCTATGGGAATTTGAATTGCAGCTTCTTAACAGAAGTCCTCATTGGCTCCCATTTCAGCCAATATCTAAACAGCCATTGCCTTCATTGGGTGCAGCGTTAGACCTCAAATTCTGTGAATTGTAATTCAGAGATCAGTGAAATTGTGTTATTAAATTGTTGTATGTTTTACCTGTGAACATGAATGCTTATGTTTTTGTTTTAATAGAAGGGATCTCAAAATTCCAATCGCTTTTAAAACGATCAGACAGTTTGTCTTCATTGGTCTCTGAGAAAGACTATATTAAGTCATTAGATCTTTCATCAAATGAGCTGGAGAATATAGATGCCATCAGTCAGAACTGCTGCTTAACTGGTCACTTGGAACGTCTTGAGAAATTAGAGCTGCACCAAAATGCACTCACAAGCATTCCAGAACAACTGTGTGAAGTAATTTTATGTCATTTTACATAATGCAAGAAAATTATCAGTTCTTTTAAGATGAAAGACCAGATTGTCATCAATGTGCCTACATGTGTACATTCGCTTCCCTAATTTGCATGTGTACAATTTTCATGCAGTAATTGAATGTGCTGTTAACCAGTTAGTTGTGCAGACATGCTCAGGTAGTTTCTGGCATATACTTACTGGAGAGGGTCAGATTGGGAAGTATATGTTACAGATAGTTTACATGATTGCATTATGTAAATGAAAATCAGAACTGCATATGCTACTTATGTGCTAAAGCAGTGGTCACCAACCCATTGATTGCAATCGACTGGTCGATCCTAGAGGATCTCCCAGGCGATCGCGATCTCTGGCGGAACAGCGAGGCTGCCGCTAAGATAGGCTCCCTGCCTAGCCCGGCCCCATGCCGCTCCCGGAAGTGGCCAGCACAGCCCCGGGAGCGTGGGGGCAGGGGTCTCCCTCAGCACTGCCCCTGCATTGGCCAGGAACAGGGCTGTGACCAATGGGAGATGCGGGGGCGGTGCTTGCAGAGAGGGACAGTGCGCGGAGCCACGTGCCGCCCACCCACATCCCCGCAAGGGTGTGTTGGCCCCTTCCAGGAGCGGCATGGGGCCAGGCTAGGCAGGGAGTCTGCCTTAGCAACAGCAACACTACACCGCCAACCGGGAGCCGCCAGAAGTAAGTCCCCAACCCCCAGCCCTGAGCCTCCTCCCAGAGCCTACATCCCGACCCCCCCCTCCTGAACCCCAAGCCTCAGCCCTGAGCCCCCTCCCAGAACCAGCACCTCATACTACCCCGCACCCCAACACTCTGCCCCAGCCCTGACCCCCCTCCCAGAGCTAGCACCCTGTACCCCCTCCTGCACCCCAACCCCCTGCCCCAGGCTCACCCCAGAACCCCCTCCCACGCTGCAAACCCCTCAGCCCCAGCCCAGAGCCCGTACCCCCTCCCAAACCCCAACCCCCTACCCCAGCCTGGTGAAAGTGAGTGAGGGTGGGGGAGAGCAAGTGACGGAGAAAGGGAGGGATGGAGTGAGTGGGGCGGGGCTTTGGGGAAGGGGTGGGGCCTCAGGGAAGGGGCAGAGTAGATCATGGGTTGCCCTTAATTCAAAAAGTGATCTTGGGCGTAAAAAGGTTGGAGACCACTGTGCTAAAGGCTGTGTGTAATTGTACTAGTTAGTTTTATTACAGCATGCATGCACATCCTCTTTATTTTACTGATATAATATTATATAATAATTACCATTTTCTCTCATTTTACTTGATAGGATAAATAAAATAAATATGAAGTAATTGCCTAAAATATTAATTTAGTTTAAAAATTAGAAATTCGTATCTACATGTTGTACTTTTTAAAAAGAAATTCTCCTTTTCTTTCAGACTTTGAAATGTTTGACTTACTTGGATTTGCACAGTAACCGGTTTGCATCTTTTCCTACTTATTTACTGAAAATGAATTATATTGCAAACCTTGATATCTCTCGGAATGACATTGGCCCTTCCTTAGCTTTGGATCCACATACCAAATGCCCAACTCTGAAGCAGCTTAATCTATCATACAATCAACTGTCGTGCATTCCTAAATTTCTTGCGGATATTGCAGAAAACCTAGAACAGCTAATGCTAGAAGGGTAAGAATAGTGCCAGTTTCTTTGATTACTGTTTAACAAAAATTGCAGGAAATAATCAGTTTATTTCATCCAGAATAATCAGTGTTACTGAATGTAAATTATTTTCTGATCAAAAATGTGTTCTAGTAATTAATTAAATTCACAAAAGCAAGACATGCAGAATCCAGGTTTCCATTCCTTTTCTTCATTTTTATTATTTTTCATTAGATGAGTTCATGTTTCTAATATCACCATGGTGGAGAGGTTTTTGCTATTCCTCTCATTCCCAAATATCTCTAACATCTTAAAAAGAACAGGAGTACTTGTGGCACCTTAGAGACTAACAAATTTATTTGAGCAGAAACTTTCGTGGGCTACAGCCCACTACTTCAGATGCATAGAATATCTTGATTATCACTTCAAACGTTTTTTTTTCCTCTTACTTAATTGGCCTCTCAGAGTTGGTAAGACAACTCCCACTTTTTCATGCTCTCTGTATGTGTATATATATATCTCCTCAATATATGTTCCATTCTATGCATCCGAAGTAGTGGGTTAGTAGCCCACGAAAGCTTCTGCTCAAATAAATTCGTTAGTCTCTAAGGTGTCACAAGTACTCCTGTTCTTTTTGCGGATACAGACTAACACGGCTGCTACTCTGAAATCTAACATCTTAGTTTATATTTCACATTGAAAATCTTTAACTCTCTCTCTGTTTCCCTTGTTCTTTCTTCTAGAATACATGCATTGTAATATCATATATTAATCTTAGAACTATCTGTATTCTCCTTGTCTGTCCATGTCCATGTTACCTATTTCTTTTAAATTGACAGATGCTCTTTAGGTTGCAATCCTGCAAATACATATTAAGTCAGTGGAACTGCTCACATAGGGTATGTCTACACTGCAATTAGACACCCGCAGCTGGCCCGTGCCAGCTGTCTTGGGCTCGTGGGGCTCAAGTTAAAGGGAAGCCTGAATGTCTATACTGCAAGTAAACAGTCACTTGGCCTGAGCCCTGCGAGCCTGAGTCAGTTGGCACGGGCAAGCTACGGGTTTTTAATTGCGGTGTAGACATACCCTTACTTAAAGTTAATCACGTGCTTGAAGGATTGGACCTTTAATGTGATCAGAAAATGATACTTTATTGCACATGCTAACATTTTAATGATAAAGTGAATAAATACATATGATGAGGTATTCACATTGTCATATGCACTGGTATTGCGGATAAATATCAATCCTGATCCATCAGTCCTTACTCAGGTAATACTATTTTCAGTTTCTGTTCGCATAAGTAAAGACAGCAAAATCAGGTCCATACTCTAACTTTCCTTTTTTTTTTTTTTTTTTTTTTAGCAAGTAGTTTTGTATAACACTTCTAATATTTGTTTTCCTTTATCTTAGAAACAAAATCTCAGGTATATGTTCACCCATATGCTTGAAGGAACTGAAAGTTTTAAACATTAGTAAGAACAATATTTCATCCTTGGCTGTTAATTTTCTCAAGGAGTGCACAAAATTGGAGCTATTTAGTGCCAGGATGAATTTACTTGGTAAGTATTCTAGGAGTTGCTAAAAAAAAGAATGAGAGAGGTTTAGATGATACGTGGTATAGTCCAGATAGGGACAAGGCAAAGCAGAACAGTTAATGTAAAGACTGCTTGAAAAACAGCAAGGTCTAATATACAGTATTAGCCTCCTAAACATTCATCAATAGTTACCACACTATATCCATTAGCCACAGTTTACCACAACAGTTATCACATATACAATACTATTTCCCTGTGCTTTCCATAGGAAATAATTGTTGCATCTCAGGTACTGAGGTGCGGTAATTGTTGATAAATAGTAACTTGGACTTGATTCTTTTCTCGTGCCAATTTTACATCATATAACTCCATTTATTTAAATTTACACTGATTTAAGTGAGGTTAGTGAGTGTCTGCATAGATTTCTCCTGATACTGTCATCTGACTAAGCAATACAGAGTAAGATTCAATGTCTTAAAACATTTTATACAAAAAATTAACAACTAATTTGAGAAACTGTAATAAATGAATCACCTGCCCTAATGAATTTATAGAAGTTCTTAAATTATTATTAGAATTTCTTACGTCTATCCAACATATAGAATTTTTTATTTTGCACATGCTTATAATCTAGTTTCTCAGTCTTTCAGAAGGTAGCTGTTATGTAAATGAAGTTTTAAGCAATCTTTTATGTACATATGGTATTTTACTACATTGTTGGAATGACAAGCATATATAGTATTAGTAACACAGCAAAATGTAAATAAGAATATTTCAATGTTGGATAACAATATGAAATTAAATATAGTGTCTAATAAAAGTTAAAAAAAAATGTAGAAATATTTGGAGAAAACAGGTACTTTAATTCTCCTCTAAACTCTTCAAATTGGGAGCTCACTTTTCAAATGGGAGTTCCTGAAAAAGAAAATCCAAATCCTGTCTTTGGAGCTCAAGTCAACACTTGGGTGATTAAAATGGTTATTTACTCCTCCAAGTGCCAATTTGAGCACCAAAAAATAGAAACAGATACCAGTGTTTGGAAACTAGCCTCACAATGTATCTCTAATTTTAGAAAATGACAGCTTTATAAACTAAGGTAAAAAGTGCTGAAAAATGATGCCTAAAGGAAATAATTCAGTTTCTTTTCTATTTTAGATACCCTACCTAACTTGCCATCTAGCATAACAAATTTAAAATTATCTCAAAATCATTTTGTCAGTATTCCAGAAGCGATTCTTCTTCTTCCACAGTAAGTTATTTCACCTGTTAAGGCCAATGTTGTGTCCTCTGTGAAGGAAAACCTAGTGGAATGGCCATTATTAAGCAGAAAATACAGCATGTTTCTACTCAGCGTTTTCAACAAATCATGCTAAAAAGTCTAAATCTAAAACATGGTGACCATTTACTCAAGCTAGAGTAGGTCACTTTTTCTTCAATAACTACAGAAAGCCTGAATCCCCTAGGTAGTTCCAAACTATGAACCTCTCTTTTTTGTAAACTAAAAGATGTTTTTAGGAATGCTGAAGCTGCCCATTTTTGCGTCCAGAGTTAGAACCAATTTGTTTTTTCTGGTGCAAAGAAGGTTAAAAAGGATATTGGCAATTTCTCTTTTCATTAAGTCTTGGAACTTCATCATTTTACACAAGGCAGCTGAGTCCAGTGGCTCCCTTCCCAAATGTCTATGATAAGTTCCTTCTCAAAGAATAACACTGCATATGCCCCCTAAGTTGAATTGGGTTAGAGCTGCATTTGTCTCAAATTATGCTGTTCCTTCAAAGCATTATTCATGTGAAAACTAGCCCTATTAAGTTTGCTACAGCTGTGTTAAATTTTAGCACATTGTGCCAAGTGCATTATTTTGGCCATCCTTTAATTGCAACCACATTAATACTAGGGATGTAACGAATACTCAGTCCAGACCCATGAGGCTGTTTTTTAATATGTTAACTATTTTTAAAATGGCCTAGCAACACCTCCCACACTCAACATTATTCATGCACTTGCTCCTTTCCATTGCCACTCCCATTCCTTTCCACCACCTTTCCAAGCTCCAGAGAGGTTTACTCGCCCACTTCCTCTTGCTATCCTCCGAGCCTCAGCACTACTCTCCAACCCACTTTTTCAAGTCACTTCTTAGGCACCAGTATTGCTCTTCTATTCATCCCTCATGTGGCAGCTCCCTCCTACCACTTCTGGTTCTGGCACTGCAGCTCCACCCCCCTCTCCTATGTATCCAATATCTCTGTGGTCCCCTCCTGTTACTCCTTCCAGTGTCCGCTACTGGTTACATATTGACTCCAGCTACTTCTATAGAAGTATCTAGAACGTAAATACCTTGCGATGTCAGCTACAAAAGTGCCATGCGAACACCTGTTCTCACTTTCAGGTGACACTGTAAATAAGAAGCGGGCAGCATTATCCCCCATAAATGTAAGCAAACTTGTTTTGTCTTTGCAATTGGCTGAACAAGAAGTAGGACTGAGTGGACATGTAGGCTCTAAAGTTTTACATAGTTTTGCTTTTGAGTGCAGTTATGTAACAAAAAAAAATCTACATTTGTAAGTTGCACTTTCACGATAAAGAGATTGCACTACACTACAGTACTTGTATGAGGTGAATTGAAAAATACTATTTTTTTAATCATTTTTACAGTGCAAATATTTGTAATAAAAAATAATATAAAGTGAGCACTGTACACTTTGTATTCTGTGTTGTAATTTAAATCAATATATTTGAAAATGTAGAAAAACATCCAAAAATTTAATACATTTCAATTGGTATTCTATTGTTTATCATTTTGATTTAAAACTGTGATTAATCATGATTAATTTTTTTGAGTTAATCGTGGGAGTTAACTGCGATTAATCGACAGCCCTAAAACTTAATAAACTTATTGAAGGAGATGCAGCTCTCAAGCTTTGT